AAATGAGCAAAAATGGGACGGAAAACATGGAATTTTGGCATAATCTTGCACCTAAGTGTGTGATATTAAAATTTCGCTTTCTGGGTCAAAACTACACACCAAGAACGCTCATTCGTACATCATTCTAGACAGAAATAAATGGCCTTTTTAGAAAGTGAATCATGGATGGGGCAATGTTGGCAGTTTTCTCAAAAAAGGCTTGAATTCTGGAAGTTTGGTTTTTTTTAGTTGTAAAATCCACTTGAACATGCCGCTGCTTTTTTCGAAGTTTCTCAAGAACCATTTGAGCCACAGAATTCGTTTTCCTGGATCCGCCCTTGTCACTGTTTGTGTTCAATTCAATTAAGATACCAAAACCCAATGAAGCGCCACACTAATTGAAAAAAACCACACTAATTCGGTGCAGAAAATGGAAATTAAACGTTAGATTAATAGCGCAAGCTTAATTCGAAACCCTAGAGAGAGAGCATCAAAAACAATTCAAGCCCGGCAAATCGGGAACAGTCCATGACCGTTTTATAACCATTCTAGCCAAGATTGTAAATTACAACGGTGTAATACGCATGCGATTTTAGCTGCCTGCCGTTAGACTGTGAGCGATGGAGCGGAGGCGCCGCGACGCCCAGTCACATTCCTCCCGCTTTATCCCGGGAGTTTTGGCGGAGCGTTTGGTGGGAATTAACCAGCTTTGAATCCCATTAATCAGCGTCCCTTAAATCCCGGCTATAGCTGTTTGTTACGTGGATTTGCGAGCCGGCTGTGTCGCGATCCGACGCCGACGCCGCGACGCCGAGTTGCCAAGTTTGATGGCCGCCAAATGGATGGAGCCATGTTGCTTTTCCGGTTTAATCCCGCATTTTCCGGGTGACATTGATTGACAATTTTTCCATCATCCATTAAAGCGGCACTTTGCTCGACCGGCAGCAATTTTCACACTTTTGTTTTAACACTCAGCCAGCCGGGCTCACATCTGGGATGCTCTGGATTCAGGCTTTTTTCCTCTAATTGAACCTTCCTGGGTCTCCTCTAGCTGGGACTCACGCCAGAAGAAGCATAAAAGTACTGAGTGAAATTTTTTTCCCATGCACCTTAGCTGAAGTCGTCCAAAATAGTTCCACTGCGCCCCAAATTGTTCCCGACAGTAAATTCGAGGCTGTCAAGTAAAGTGGGAAAAGGGTGTGAGCGCATAACGAGGGTAATCCTTGCCCTTTTCCGGAAGCGCCGAGGGATGGAAGTTAGGAAGCAGGAGCAACTCCTGGGAGAAGTGAGAACATTACGGGGCGCTGTGAAGTTCCTCAACGTTGGCGCGGCCTGCATACCAAGCAGGCCGGAGCCCTGAAATCCCGGACTTTGTGGGGGAATATCAAAATGGAGAAGGTCGGCATTGTTTTATTGAGTTTGGGGCCAGGAGCGGTAATGTTTCGTTAATTTGCCGGCTTGCGCTTTTCAAGCGGTCGGTTCTTGCTTGGAGTGCGGAAGATTTCCGGTTGTATCATTTGCAAACGCCCGGTAGACATTTCAATGCTGTTTAAAGTCCTGACCTTTATATAGAACGTGAACCAATGTTGCTCCCATAGGAAAATGTAAACAAATGCAACCTGGGAAAACGGAGCAACCACGGCGAGAGCGGCAACATCGGGGCCACTTCAACACGCGACTAATTGTAGCCCCTTTGGAATACAACGTTGCCAGTATCTAATGTTATGTCAGCTATCGTGTCAAGTGTCAAATCTTAAAAAGGTGGGGTTAGAACTGTTAAAAGTGACAAGTGAAGTGGTTTGGTTTATGTCTGACCACGTTTTGACTTGAATGTGTCGAAGTAGTATCAGTCTTCTGTCGTAATAACATACAAATAATAACTTTTATATCATTAGTTATGTCTATTT